TATATATATTCATTCTTTCCATTCAATAAAAGATGTCAGATTGCATCAAGTTGATCTCTACACTAGATTGGTGATTTTTGTATGGATAAAATGTATGAGAAAATTGATGTTAAACTTTTATTTTGAAAGAAACTTGTTATTGTAAATTTTTTACCACAAAAATCCACGGGTGCCCATGAACCCGCGGATACCCAACGGGTTGGGTTGGGTTTGAGTTTTTCAAACCCAACGGATTTTACACTGGATTTTTTTGGTGGATAAACCCATGGGTTTGGGTTTGAGTTTGACAAAACCCGCCCCAACGTGACCCATTGCCATCCCTACTTGTGGGTGGTTGTTTTATCTTGGCTTAAGGAGCTGCACATACATTTTACAAATCTTACTGAACACGAATGGGATTCATCATCCGAGTGAGCAAGCTGTCTCACTCTAGGAGGGATGGCAAGGGCTTGTGTGTGATAAAGAAGAATCTGGGCAGTTGCCAGCTACACGGGTTGTAGTTGTTGCTGCAATTCTTGGAGCATGTTAGGTTGGACGGAGAACATGAGAAGACACTGCATAAAGAGGAAATTCATTCTGAGAAATCGAGAGACAGCAGTGTGTAATCTTATATGCAAAACCATCGTCTCTGCCTGTTTTTCGGCAAGAAAACTTGCGTTGAAATAGAATTGATTGCACCTTGACTTCTTGAACAACGATTAACTTAACACAGTCCACACCTCTTCAAACAAAGTTTGAACGAGGGTGTTCGATGTTTACACGACTCACGAGACAGGTCTACATTAAATTACTCATATTCCTATGAAGGTTCTGTGAGAGATCCAGATCTACGACTACTGATAAAAGTTGAAAGGAAAGATAAAATTGATAAAAACTTGACAAGTGGTGTCGAGTAGTGATTTTGGCGAACCCTTTCTCTGTCAACTCCTCTTCATATTTATAGCCTTGAAGTGGTAACTGTCGTAGAAAACCATCTAAGAGTAACTTCCAAAAAGAACTGCTCTCCTTCTTCCTCGGACGTGGTTGATGTGTCCTTGCACGTGGGATAATCGACAGTAGCTCTGTTAACCGCCTGCTCTTTCTCTTGGAACTGATGTCTTGTTACTTGCCTCCCTTTTACCATGGCCATTCCAGATCAAGCTCTATGACTTAGTATATTTGTGGCTTTCCTCTCCAATGTGGCTTGCCTTCTTACTTCCAACTTGTTAGTTCAGATCTTCGACGTGGACTAGATCTCACGACCACCTTGGTCTAGTGGACTAGACACCAATGTGGTCTAGTTCTCGCGACCACCTTGGTCTAGCAAACTTGCGGATGAAATTCGCATGTTTCGTCCTCAATCTCTCCGTGATGCAATCAGCCTGGCACGGATGAAGAGCGACCAGCTGCAGAGGCACAAACCGACGACGGGTCATGCGGCATCCACTCCGTCGCCGAGTTTGGTGGCTGCGCGGTTTGGCGGCGGGCCGACGGGAGCACGGGCTGCAACCGCGGCGGGAACTGGACCTCCGCGCAGTGCTGCGAGTGGCAGGAGGTTGACCTGGGAGGAGCAGCAGCTGCGACGTGCTCAAGGGTTATGCTTCAATTGTGACGATTGGTTTACGCTCAGGCACAAGTGCGATACGGCCAAGATTATGTGCTTGTTCGAGGAGGACGATGCTAAATGTCAACCTTGGGGACAAGGTTGAAATTGAAGGGGGATGGAATGGTAGCAACCCATAGTAGTAGGCTTGGTTGTTAGTATCAGACTATTATTATTATTATTATTATTATTATGGATTTAGGCTTGTTCGGTTAGTATTCAGTGTCGGTTAGGGCCTAGTACGTAATCCACGAGAAGTTGGGCTTCTTAAGGGTGGCAGATTAGGGGTAGGGGTTGAGTGGCCTAGTTGGGAATTAGGGTTTCTACCCTATAAATATGTATGTTCGGTGTTGGTGCCGTTTTATCGAATAATAAACCTAAAAACAGTCTTTCGACACTTTACGTCGTTCTCTCGCTTGTGAGTTACAAGCAAAACCCTAACCCGATAGCAACGAGTTGCTATCAGTGCTGAATTAGACGCTAAGAACTTCCAAGTGGTAATGAAGGGTTGTTAGAACTGATTCCATTAATGTCTTAGTATGCTTCTTCGATCTTGTTCTTGATCCTTAAAACTGTTTCTTATTTAGCAAAATGTTGTTAATCCCTATTTCAGTAACATTCAAATGCTGGTGAGCAATTACATCTTGATTCTGGTGTTCCTGGTGTACAAATGTGGTGAGTGCCCTTAATAGTGTTGTGAATGATTAGTTTCAACTATTTCATGAAGAAGGGTTCAACAACTCATTATATCTCCATGTTCGGGGTACTGCGATATTAGTAGCATATTACTACCAAACTGAAGTTGAGAAAGCATCTTTTTTTGGCAAAGTCCCCATGCCGTTGGTAAGAACACCAAAATCAAGTTAAAGGATTCAGAAATAGATTGCTGAAACGAATTCAGAGTTGACACCTCTTAGAAAGCAAAGTATATATCTTCTCCAAAAATGGTTCTCTCATTCGGAAGGGTTATGATTATCTTTTGTAGGGTGCGGAGGAAGCTGACAAGGCCAGAGCTGGAATTTCCACATTCTATTAGGAATCACCATTGTCGTAGAGAAGGCAACTATTGATGATGGAACCGTAATATAAATAATGAATCGCTATTTGCCGCCCTACAAATTACTATTTGCCGCCCACAACTTAATACAAAATTACACTTTTACCCTTACCTTTTGAAATAGTGTTTGCCGCAAGAATTGCCGCCGTTTCCTACCTTGCTCCCTTTTTCCTACCTTCCTCCCTATTCTGATCTAGGTGAATCCCCTTCATTGTTTCCCGCATGGCTTCTTCCAACCCACCACCAGCCACCCCACAACCGAAATCAAGCCAGCACTCTCATTGGCCGGACGGTGAGGCAGGTTCTGAATAAGGAGAGCCGCGGACGGGGAGGACGGGGTCCGCCGCCGGCGATCGGACGCGGTCCGCCGCCGGCGATCGGACGGGGTCCGCCGCCTGCGATCGGACGGGGTCCGCCGCCGGCGATCGGACGCGGTCCGCCGCCAACTTTTTTTTTCAAAATTATTAATAAATTACTTAAATATTAATTAAATTATGATTTGTGATGATTGTGTACGCAATGAGTTTGAAAGTTCTAATATGAACATGGTAATTTTTTTTCTAATTATAGGGGTGGGAACAAGGAAACTAATATAAAAACATATATTATTGAAGTAACTAATTACGAACTATCACTGCCTGATTATATTTTCCTCAATTAAAATACATGATCTTTATTCCATAAATTTCCTTATTACTCACTTGACAGCCAAACTTCTCTAAAAGAAAAAATTTGACAACCGAAACACTTAATTACATAGAAAAAAGGAAGCAACCCTCTGTCATATTGAGCAATTAGTGGTGCATGTAGAAATCAGTGGTTTACAGGTTGTATATTATGTTATTATTATTTTCAATTTTAAGTTATTTTCTTTCCTCTTATCACTATTTACGTAGTAAAAAATTAAGCAATAGGGTAGGGTGTGACTTTTACCAATTAGAATTAGGGTTTGACTTTGAAAAAATAGGGTTTAATTTTCAAAAATTATGATTTGACTTTGATCAATTAGGGTTTAGTGAAATTATGGTTTGACTTTGACCAATTAATAAAATGTTTAAACACAATTGAATCAATCTAGCCCAAGATGAAAGATAATTAAGAAATAAAGCATCTCTTCCTCTCTTAACATTCTACCCCTCTCAAACCCTAAACCATTATTCCAAACTAACTTTAACCTTGATCCATCTAATACTACTATGACATTATTTTAGAGGCCAAATCGTCTCTGCCTCCACTAACAACAATCTTTCGCATCGTGAAAATATACATGATAGGCTAAAAAAACTCCTAATTAGCACCCCTAGAGCCCTCAAAAACCTCGATGGAAGTTTTGGTACTATTCATCTCTTTTTTTCGGGAATGTCCGATCGAGAAACGGTCGAGTGCAACACATTTGTTTCCACATTTTGAGAGAGCAATGATGATTTTAATAATTTTTCATGTCGGAGACTCTAGTAATTGCGAAAAGATGTTTTTGCCCGACCTTCCGCAAGCCATAAAGAGGCCTCTCCGTGCCCCGATTTCTTATAAGTTATGTAAAACATAGTTTAGAGATGATGATCCAATTAACTATGAAATAAATACAATTAAAAAGGTTTAATCAAAATTTATAAATATTTTATAACTATTCTACATAATTAAAATGAATTATTTATAATTATTTTACAATTTTTACGATAATTTATGACTAAATATCCATAATCTTATAAGCTATTTCACATAATTTATAATTATTTAACATATTATAATTATTTAATTGCTATTTTACTTAATTTACTTATTTTAGCTTTATTTACATAATTTAAAAATAAGTATCAATTAATTTGTACAAATATTTTTGGTCAATTATAACTATTTTTAATTCATAAATATAATTACTAAACATACATATAATTACTAACATAATATAATTATTGAAAAAAGAAAACCCCCAGCGGGGGCGATTACTGTGGCGTCACTCTACTTTTACTGTACTTACAGACTCAAAATTACTGTTACAACTCGGATTGGTATTGGGTGTGGGAGGTGCATGGTGTTCCCTGGTTGATTTCGAATGGGTCGGTTCGCTTTGGACTGCTGATTGGACATCTGGTTTGCTGGTCATTTAGAGTTGGTGTGAGTGATCCTGGTTGAAGCTCCATTGCATTCCAACTAACCAATCCCCGCATTGATCCCGCGGAGACGAGATTGGCTCTGTTGTGTCTTGGGGATTGGATTGAGGTGGCTCAGAGAAAGAGCAAGTGGCCTACCAGGTACAGAGAGACTGACAAGAAGTGTGATCGTTGGCTCCTTTTTCTACCACAAATACTACTGACACAAGCAATACAATAACTCACCTTTAATCATCACAATTCCACCGAAATGACAAGGGAGAGTGGTAAAGATAAGAGCTCTTTCATTCTCATTCTTCTTTCTTTTTAGTTTTTACTCTCTCTTATCCGCTCTCTTTCTCTTCCCTTTCATTACTTCTTTCTTTCTCTTCAAAAATTCTCACTCCTCTGTTTGTGTTGTTTGTTGTCATAGGTCTCTCTGTGCTGGTCGACCGGGATGAATGCCACACTGGTGTGAGATCTGTAAGCTGGCAGCAATGGTGTTATTGGTGGGATTATAAATCCTCGTGCGCTCAGGCAGAAACAATCCAAAGCCAGGTGATTTTGCAATCTTTACTTTTCTTCCTTTTTGTTTTTCTTCAGTTTTTGAATGGTTGGTTCTCTGATCATGAGCAGATCCACAACCTCTGTTCACGGCTGAGCGACCCAACTATCCGTAAACAAGGGGTTCTCCCAATAGAAATAGATTACCCCTCTGTTCTGCGGCTGTTGGAGGTTCTAAATGATCGACGGAGACAACAAGCGCCTGTGGTGAACAAATTTGGAAGAATAACCTGATTTAGGAAGTTTCAACAGTGGCCATGAGAATCGGTAAGTTCACTTTCTTTTGATTCCCCTTCTCCCCATTTACTTGGCGTAATTCCATTTCATATATTGAATTTTGGGTGTAGAATGACAAGGACATGTGATCTATTCTGTTGGCCCTTCTTTAGGTGGGTCGATGTTGGAATGACGGCGCGTATCCGGTGTATCCTCTTCTCTCAGGTGGAGGAAGGATTTGAAGTGCAAAAACTCTTTCGGGCTATCACGGGTACTTTTATCTCTGTTTAATGTTCTTTTTTTTACCTGTTGTTTCTCTATGTTTCTTTTATGATCTCTCTCGCCTGCCGCCAACTTTCTCTTTTCAGTGATTTTTGGTTGATTTCTGAATCATGTTAGACCTCCATGCCGGAAGATTCCACCAATTTAACTGCTTACCAAGGTGAATCAGATCTAGATGAGCCAAGGGGGTAAGGTAATTTCGTGTTCCTTGCAGTAAGCGATCATCTGTGTCTTGGGTCTTATTTTCTTTGGTTGCTTCGGTCTTGGCTTCGTGAATCTCTGCTTCTTGGTTTGGGTTTCGATTCTCCATTCTTGCTCTCAACGGCGATTCATTTTGTGTGTCTGATTTACTGCTGGTTTCTGGATTTCATGCATCCTGTATCTCTCAAGGGATATTTAATTTCTGATAACTTTTTGTGGTTTTGGGTAGATGAGAACTGTCATGGCGAGGGAATTGCCAGGTCCAGCCGCCTTGAGAGAGATCTTTAGGTTCTTCTTTTCCAGAGAAATGGAGCAAGGTATTGTTTTGCTGGTAGAATGACCTTAAAAGCAGCCTAAAAAATCAAGATGAACTGTATACTGTTACAGGTAAATGCCCCTGTTCGATACCCATTTGACACCATCAATTTTCAGTCGTTTATTTTTTCATGTCCTGTTATTCATTGTTGTTTGGATGGTTTGGCCATTTACTAACAGAGTCGGTGTCTGAGCTGCATTCATTGATGGAAGGAGGAATTGCAGTTCGTCGACACAGATTGTGGCTGCTGAAAATGATGGTATTTTGTTCTCTGTTTTTCGTTCGGTGACATACAGGTCATTTACAGTTGAGGACCCAAATTCAATAGAGGACTGTAGACTCATTTATATGAAGCTTCGGCTCTATGAATCTAAGGTCTAAATTTTGAAACCTGCTATATAATTGAAGTTGTCGATATTAAGATTTAATCATGCTAACTTAGTTGTTCATACCTTCTTTGTTTGCAGGTGTAAGTTGCAGTAGGTTATGCAACTAATCTAAGGTTGTTTTTCTGGTGGTAATATTGTAAGGCCCTCTTATTTTATAATGGTGTGTTGGCAGACAAGTGCTATATCACATGTAAATATATAATGGCAGATAAATACTATTTAGAATGTATATATAATGTTGATCATTAATCATTTGATAATTTTGTTATCAGATTGATGATCTTAGTATTAAACTTTAAATTGGTATGTCAGTACTTGGATTACCCTATTTTTGCATTTTATAATTCGACAATGCCAAAGTTTTGGTTTATCATATTTTGATAGTTTATGTCACAAATGACTTTTACATTCGACACAGTCCCGGCGCGAAGCGCGGGCAAGAAGAACTAGTTTAAATAAATTAAGGTTGGGTTAAATAATTATTGACCTTTAGCAACGATCTTTAGTGACAGTTTTAGAGCTGTCGCTAATGCGGGGTCTGTAGACCAGCATCTGACCAGCAACCGGAATCTGGGGTTGTCGCCGGAAAAGTGATTTTTTTCGCCTGAAATGTTTTTTTTTTTCACTTACAATTTTTTGTGTCAAATATTTGTTTGTTGAAAAAATTATTTTCGCTCAAAAATTTGTGTGGCCAGCATTTTAATTCACTAAAACATACATTTCCAAAAAAGGTCAAAATTGACTTTTTCACATAATTTGATGGGCGGCAAATAGTAATGACACGGGCGGCAAATAGTAACCCTCTATAAATATAGTGGTTCCTGAAGTGTTCGATGTGAGAGGACTATATAGAAAGTGGTTACTGCCTTACTAGTGCTTCTTTCTGAGGGAACAAGGGAGCCATAGTAGGTTTGGAAATGACAGCAAAGATCTGGAACCCTTAAACAGAAGAAGCAATGACAGCAAAGATCTGGAACCCTTAAACAGAAGAAGCAAGCAAGCCAGTAACTTGAGGTGCAAGTGATGTAAATTAGGATCAGGCTCTAAGAAATTACCACACCGTTGCACCAATGTAAATTCTTTGCTCTCTCTCTCTCTCTCTCATCATTTTGGTGAGGTTAACACGAAACCTGGTATGTATATGAATATCTTTCTCCCAGACATAGGTTACGTACACCGGCCTTTGTCAAAAGAAAACAAGCCTTTTTCCTATGGCCGAGTCCAGGATAAAAGAGGAGCCAACAGAACTCCTTCAATTCAGAAGGAGCAAGAACATGAAGGTGAAAAACAGGGGAGAGATTTCGATTGGTGTAGAACATACTTACCATCATCATTAACATAGGCAGAGGTAGGTAGGTAGTGGATGATAATATTGCACCAAACTCATTCACAAGCCAAATAGTAGCAACAGGGACACAACCATACATAAATACATCATTCTGAATCCTAATTATAAACCAACTAGTAGTCAATATCAACTCCACAATACTTGAGCAGAGCCTTGCGGTAGTATTCAGCATTTTCAGACTCAGACATACGCTGCATATACAGACAGACAGGTTGACGGAATGCAGTTAGCAGGGCACATATTGACTGCCATATATATAAGATAGAGAATCCAAAACTTGCACAATAACATTAAACATACCTCTGCAAATTTCCTTAGCAAATTATTGCATCTCGTTGCAGCAGAGTTCTTGGGGAATTTAGGCTCGACCAGCTTAACACTTTTGATGTTATCAACTCCATATTCAGTAAGATAATTCATGACATTTTCTTCAGAAGCTACGAGACCTACCACCACAAACCAAGAAAAGTAACATTGTTGTAGAACAGAGAGAGAAAGAGAGGAACTTGTGTCTTCAGCTAGACAGGAAAGAGATAAAGGAATCGACTTTGATTACCGCAACGCCTTGCTGGTTTAGGAGGGCTGGGGTTCCAGGACAATCCGTACTCAGAATCAAACGTAATGGATCCCGATCCTGAGAGAGATAAGAGAGCGAGCGAACTACACGATCAGAATGAACCCTAGATACTATGCGAACAATTCACCAATTCCGACAAAAGGGCAAAGTTGATTCGTACAAAATCTATCTTCTTAATCAGAATACATACCGGTGTAGAACACAAAGCCGGTAGGCATGGCCGGCGACCACTTCTCTCGATTCTTCTCTTCTTCTTCCCCAATCGCGTTCGCTTTCCGGCTGCGGCTGCCCTTGTTTCGCTCTCTTTTAGGATCAGAGTTACTGTGTGCTGGCCGGACATGTAAGTATTTTATTTTGAACCCAATGGGCCATCCGAAATCAACAGTATTTATAGCTGAAAAGTAAAACTGTAACCCCCATTCAAATTTTCCTGCGCATAGAGTGATTTTAGGAGTCTGATGCGGCAGGGTGGTTACGCGGGATTAAATTAAAAATCCCCGCCTGACAAGAAAGATAAGAAACCGTCGGTTCCCACTACTTTTTTTGCGGCTGAAATCATCTTCCATTTTCTTCGGGGTTATCTACGTTTTGCTTTCTCCTTCCCGCAGCACGGCAGGATATCCATTTCTCAGCGGACAATTTTGGGAACAGGGACTGACGCTTGCTGCTCAGCGGAGGAAGGCATTGACGGCCCGCTGATGTGGAGTTTACCGTGCCGAGATTCTGCAGTTTGGAACGAGCGGCGAACACCTGATTGAGCGAGGAAGACCTGCGGCTAATTGACGGTGAATTCCCCAGCCAACCGGCGAATCGAAGGTGAGTCATGATTTGTGGTATTTGTTTACCCCCGCTGATTCGAACAATCGGATTTGGTAGTTATGCGGTGAATGATTCTCCAGCCAACCGCCGATTTGAAGGGGAGGCGAGATTGTTTCGGTTAGTTTGCTCCTGCTGCTTCTCTCAATCCGGATTAGGTAGTTCTGCGTTGAACCCTTGCCAGCCAACCGACGATTTGAAGGGGAGTCAGTAATTTTTTCTATTTGTTTTGCCCGGTTGCTTCGCGCTGTCAGATTTGTTAGTCTGATATATATGCGTTTTGGGGAAGCCCGCAATTCCTCTATTCGCAATTGGATTTGGTATTCTGATCTGCATATGACCTATTACTGTTTCCATCATTTACTTCGCTTATCTTTAGTTGTATCTGATTGAGTTTCCATGTGTACCCAGCTAAATTGATAGGCCAACCCTTCCTGTACCTCCTGTGTCCTTATCGCAGCTTAGAAGGAGACCACGTCTTCGGCGAATTCGGCGACTACAAGCCCCTCGAAGCCAAGGAAAACAGGGGAAACCAGGGGAGCCGAGTTCCAAAGAAGGCATATGATTGAGCTCTGGTTTAGATCCCAGCTGCAACTGGTAGGTTTCTCGCCCTCTTTCATTGATATTCCATTTCAGTCTCCTTTCTGTTCCGGATATTTAGTTCTAAATTTGGGTTTAGCCCGTCGTACTTGATAGATTTGGTTCATCATCTTCTCCAATTATTTTCTTATCGAAGAGACGACGACGGAACTAAATTATGATTACTGAGAGTGAACTATACAAGAAGAAAACGAGCTTTGTATTCGCATAAGGAGAAAAGGCGGGGGATGGGTTAGCGGCGGCGGTGGGTTTCTGACTCTCTTTCGTTAATATTCACTTTCTGACTTCTTATTTAGTGTGTTGATTTTTGGGTCTACGTTATGATTTTCCCTTACTATACTACATGGATTTGGTTCATCATTTTTGCCCGTTCTTTCATATTGAAGGAACGACGACGGGAACTCGATGATGGCAGGAGAAAGTGGAAAATGAGCGTTGGGTTTGCAGAGGAAAGAATAAGGATGATTAAGTTAGCGGAGTAGAAAGAAGGCAAAGCCAGGTAGTTCAAGTTTGGGGACTTCCTTTCAGTTTGATTGGGTGTTTGTGATAAGTCTTAGTTTGGTCAACATATGAGGACTTTCATGAATACAAAAAAGGCTAAGAGGAAGAAGAAGAAGAAGAAGAAGCAACAGCAGAGAATTAATTTTCCCTGGTCAAATCCCCTGGTCGCAGTTTACAAAGACATAGAAGGCAAAGAGAACGGCAGTGGAAGGAGGAATAAGAAGACGCACAAAATCGAAAAGGTGAAGAACTCTATTACGATTGTGAAGGAATAACGAAATCGACATGGTGGTGACCTTCTCTTTTTGCTTCTGTTTTTTGTTTTGTTTAATTTCTTGTGATTTATTCGCATGTTAATGAGCTTATGCCAGTTTTGGGTATTTACCTTCCAAATACCACATTGGGAAGCTTTCACTTGCCGAGTTCAACTTATTAATCAAGTGCTTGCCATCAATGGTGGTTTGGATGTGTTTGGCTCCATTTTATATCTTCCAGACCTCGCGGTTTGTACCTCAAATAGCTTTTGGATTATTGAGTTCTTACGTTGCTATTATGTTTACCTTCGCGATATGCATGATCACATAGAAAAGGCCTTATTTTCCGAGTTCTTATGCAGTGGCTGGGTACATTGATGTGGTCATTTCAGAAACGACAACTAACATGTAAGAGTAGTCACCTTCTTAATCAACAAGGTGCGCTACGAACTAAAGTCATGTGCTATGCTAATTGTTTGTATTGGTGTTCAGGGAAGAGTGCATCCGGAAGGGAAGATTACATCGTCATCAGTTCTGTCAAAATAAAGCGACCATAAACAAGACATGCCTTCTGCAGAACATAATGATGAGTGCTCCAATTTTCAACGGTTTATATATTTGTTTCCAGTTCTTTTATGTGTGTATGTCTTCTACGCCCGATGATTATGATTCGTTGATCCCTTTTTTCCTTTCAAGAGGAAGAGCATATATGCAACAAAAAGGACCAACAAAAATGATATAATCAAACACGATTGGCGATTCTCATGATGATGAGATTTGTGCTCTTTATGAACAAGCTTTCTCTTGGTACTTTTTTCTCCCTTGAATCTCTCATTTTTATAGCTGATGTTGTGTTATATCATGTTACACGGTCAATCACAAATCGTGTTTGGTTTCTAAAATTAGAATGAATCCAGGTTTGTGTTGCCTAGGGACTGTAACTTGTGATTACCTTTCATATTCATCTAAAAGTTTAATTTTTTATTTGTTATATTGGTATTGTTTTCAGGTATGGTTGGTATATTAATTTGATTTTGGATACTCATAGGATAATTGTCAGTTCCAACCAGTACATGGATACTCATCTAAAATCAATTAGGTGATTTTCCCCGTGTATTCGTTCCTACCCATTCACGATTCTGATTTTATAATTTTCCATTTTATAGGTTCCATTTGTTGCTATAGGTGTTTCCTACGAACTGAAGTATAGAGAAAAAAGTATATGTTCATGAATTTGAGATGCACGAGGGTGTTTGGTTTAGCCAATGCCCATGGATTTCGTAACCAAAGGTAGTATTCTGATTACTACCTTTGCTGCTTCTCTGTTTGTTGTCGCTTCAAACCTCCACTTATCATCTTACATATCATGGCAGGTTCTACGGCATAGGAATTGTGTCTCTTCATTTTACCAGTTTTTCCTTTAGATAGATGTGCTTCAGTAAGATGTTTTGTGTTCTGCACTTTTATTCAGAATTTTGTAGTAGGGTAGAATCAAGCGAAGACAAATACTTGCAGTAGGATTTATATAGAACGTCTATGTAAAAAATACATGTATTGCACTTGAGATCTTAATTAATACAGTTGGGTCATATATTTAATCCGTTTGTTTTATCTTCTTCGACACTGTACTTTTTAAGCTGTGATGTAAAACTTGCATGAAATTGACTTGCAATGAATGTCTGGATTTAGCAAGTGGCAATCTATTAACTTTGTACTCTTGGATGTGCCCTTTTGAATTTGTTAGTGTCCGGGACCTTCTTTTTCATATGACGATATAATCAGATAGCAAACTTTTCAATTCCTTACTTTGTTGTGGTCATGCTTTGATCCTTGATTGACCCAGGCTCATGTAAATCATCCTAAATCATATTAGCTATCTTGATGATATCGAATTGCTGCTGCATCTATTGTTTTTTAAAGTAAAGATTGGATTTTGCCTATATATGTTAAACTATAATCTATAGATGTTATTATGGGAAGGAGATGATGTTTCTCTGTATATGACCAATTATCTGACCAATTTGGTTGCAGAAAAATTGCTTAAAGCAATAAGACAGGAAGATTGGTTACTCATATAGACAAAGAACATAAAAAGAGTAATTGCATACCGAGTGAAAGGGATTTGGATATCTCTGCACAAAGAAAAGTCGGTATCACTTATTGGTTATTCATTTGATATTAAGTTCACTGTTTTTTTTTTGTAGTTAGAATCTTATCAGCATTGAATAGTTAATTCTTAGATATTTTGTTTTTATGGTAGTGTGCTCTAATCCATTCCATTAGGCTAAGACTGTTTTGATTCGAGTTGACCTGAAGGAATCAGTAGCGAGCTTCCAATTGGGGTTAATGATTTTGAGATACTGAGCATTATTGATTGAGTCAATGTTCATAGATGCCTTAACCTAAGGTTTTTGTGTGATTCTAGCCTATGTTCTTTTCAGCTGCTGCTTCTTCTGTAAGTTCTTACACAACACATTTAGTATTTCTAAAATGTTGATCCCAAAAAAGTTAAGAAAAAGAACACTGAAATGCTTGATAATTTGTCTTTGATGGCAGACTATAGTTTCCAAATCATCTCCTTCTATCAACTGATTGTATAATCCCACCTTTTGCCTCTATTGCAAGAATCAACAATGTCTTCTGGGAATAAGAAATACGACCGTCATTTGTTGCTTCTTTAATCAAGTAAGTTAAGGGGTTGCATCGAGGGGTTTATTAAGACACATGCATAGTTTTGATAGCAAGTACTTATTGTGTGATATTATCTAAACGGAGTTCCCAATAAGTAAAGGGTGCTAAGGCTATAAATGTAGTGCATTAGATAAAGTGCTCTTTGAATTGAATCATTATTTGAGAATTAAAAAGTACCCAAATAATGAAAATATGAAATCATCTAGATAATGACATAAATGAAGGGAAGGAAATAATAACTATAAAATGAACCAATTAGAGGATAATCACTTTGCATATATGTATGTGTTAAAATATTTTGCAATTCGTCTTCGGTGGGTGGGGTTCTTGGTTAAGTTGTCGTTTTGAGATCATGAATTGTTGTGTGTGCTCTTGATTAGTTCCCCGTCATATTTTGCTAATGCATTCTTTGGTAACGCTGCTATATTTTTTAAAATTAGAAGCAAGAACAATTAGTGAAAGTTTAAACATTCCTAATGCTAGCATATACT